AGGAAGTTCCACTTGAGGCGGGTGTTCGCGTCCATGAGCGAGCTCAGAATCCATTCAGCGCCAGGTGCTCGCCCTACAGAAGGTGTTCTTGACGGTTGGAGCACTGAAGCCAGCTGGATTGATGACTGAGGCTTTGAAGCAAGACTGCATGGCAGGCCTCCGTTCTTCGCCTGGCACAGACCAAAGTCGCGGAGTCTGAGACGGTCACGATCCAGAATGCCCTTCGCACCTATGGCGAGTTGCACGCCTTCCTTCTCCACCGGGGGCGGTCTTTCCCCCCGCCCTTCGTGGACTTGGACACCTTCTTGCATCAGGGGACGATGGCTCCCACTCGTGCGCTCAACTCGATACGCTGGCTATGCAAGCACACAGCTGCTCCATGGGACATTGGTAGGCTCCGCATCACCCCTGAGCTCAAGAAGAAAGGCAACTTCGACCAAGAGCCAAGCCCTTGTTGTGGAGCCTGGCATGCTGCAGTTGTTGGAAGAGCGCATTGAGTATGTCCCATGGGGGGGGCCCGCGGTGGACATGCCTGTTGGGATCATGGTTGGTGGCAACTGGCTGCTTGAGGTACCAACACCTTCGTCGTTCGACGATTCGCCGGGCTAGTTTGATGGTTTTCCATGGCCATTGCCGCAAGGGCAAACAGCGGCACGCTCGTAGTGGCTTTGATTGGTGTGCGCCGGCGGAGTTTGCCTCCGGGTTCAATACCTCCGAGTGGCTCAAGGAGTGGAAGACCCTACCCCGTGGCCCAGAAGAGCTCTGGCATCTGCTTCGATAGGTGTGGGACGCCTTGGAATATCGCTGAGGTCCAGCATATGTGCCAGTCGATCTTCTCCGAGTTCCTGGACAATCCCGAGCAGCTGACCACCTACTCTTGGAGGAGGATGCTCCCGACCGTGGGTCACATGTTGCAGATGCAGTCTTCAGATCTTTGCTCCCTGGGCGATTGGCAAGACCGGTCAAAGGAACCGGCAGATGCCGGGATGGCCCTCCACTACTCGTCGGCCGATATGCGCAATCCCTTCGCAACAAGATCCTGGCTACTTCAGTGGCCCACAGCTGTGAGGGTCACAGCTTTTGGGAGGGGGTGCAACCTTCCGACTTGGATGGGTTTCGAGAGACAGCCAAAGAGAAGCTTGCCTTGTCTATAGCGAGGGACAAGGAGACGCTTTATGCCGCCCAGCCCACCAGAGAATCGCTGAAGACCCATCTCCAGTTCTCCAGGGCGCGTGTAGCGGCTGTGTCAGCCACCAAGATTCGGGACAGTGCTCAGCGGTCGGCAGTCTCCATGCCGGATGCCGCCTTTGCGGCGCTTGTCAACAGCCCTCGGGGTGTGACGAGGGGGAAGTCCAAGGCCTTTCTCTGGTGCGGGCGGCGCACCTTGTCCGTGATTGGATGTTGGATGAGTCCCATGACCTCTCCAATCCGCTTCGACAGCAATCGCTGCACGATCAGCTGGCAGATGTGGACTTCATCTGTGCGGCCTTCAATTGTTCCACGAAAATTCGGGCACGTGAAATTTCCCGGACTTTTCCATTACGGTCGGAACAATTCCCTGATGGCCTACCTTCACTTCAAGGGCGGGATCTCCAACGCGTCACCACTGACAACCAGGCATGTGAATTCATCTTGGAGGAGATCCGGCTGCTGTACGATCGGGGCGGAGGGTCCGTCCGGGAGAACCCATGGCGCAGCCTTCATTGGGGGTCCACCGAGGCATCTATGATGGACTCCGTTGAATTGCCATCACTCTCATTCGCCTCAAGAGTGGACACCCTACCTGCAGGGCGGACGTACAGTCTACGACTGTACCCCTCCAAGGAGGAAGCCGAATACACGGCCGTCTTGGCCTTCGCCATCGCAGTTGCCGCCTCTTGGTGGGCTGCGCGCGTGGGCCGCGCCAAATTGCAGGCCCCTCGATTGCCACAATTTGAGTGTGTCGGCGCTCGTGAACAATGGCTGGACCTCGATCCCCGAGCCTTGCGAGAGTGGGCTATGGCGCCGTTGGCCCTCGGGCTAGGCCTTTCTCCGCCTGACCCTCGCGAACCCGCCCGCATCCCTCGGCGAGCTCAAGTGGATGATGTCATGCTCGAACGAGGACGCTTGCCACCTAACCATATCTATGTGGGTCAAGGTCGAGGTTCCCATCGGTTGGCCAAGACCAAGTGGGCATCCCCAGTCATACCCGGATTGAATATAGTCAATCTAACGATTGGTTGTGGCACTATGTGGCACACCTGTACGACTCCAACCTTGTGGCCGACATTCATGAGCTCCATGCTCGTCTGTGACTGTCCCTTCTGCGACCCTTGTGAAGCTGACGCCCTGGCCGGTCTATGCTTTGAGGCAGGGCACCCTTGTGGTCAGCAGACCATGCATCGCTTCAGTCGTGGCGGAAGGCATCCCAGCGGTGCCAACACGCTGGTGGAGCCAAGAATCGCTCACGCTCGCCTTCCGCAAGTTGTACCCAGCACACTTCTTTGAGAACTTTCGGTTTCCAATGGTTGAGGACATCATCAATGCAGCCCCCTTCACTGCGTTCCCCATGTGGTTACGCGATCGGGCCTATATTGGGACCCCATCTTGCTGATGCTCAAGTCCGTCAGACCCTTCGTACTGCTGAGGGCCAGTGGGCGCCTTGAACCAGCGGGCGGCGCTGCCTCCATTGCTGTCATACGACCTCAGCCCAGATGAACACTTTGCTCAAGCCATTGGTCGTGGATGCGATCTGGGGCGGCGCTTGCGACAGTTCGAACCGGTTGCTTTGCAGGCTACCACCGCTACTCGCGACCTCGGCTTTGTAGCCCTGTTGATCTTGTTGACCTCCTGGCCTGATATTACATACCCGTTCGGGTTGATCGAAGGCCTCCCAGCAGTGGGCTATGCACCATGCTATGGCATTTTTCCTTCACAGCCAGCCGACCGTATCACCTTGGCTGACGTGTTGTCCGGATGGGAGGAGCACAACTTCCAAATCTTGTCCACGCTGAAGCCTGGGAAATTCCTTCTTGAGCAGTCCACGAAGGATGCAGCTCGTGGGTTCTGTACACCTCCGTTGAATCTGCCTCAATTGCGTCAACAGCTGCAAGGACAACCCTACAGGCTTATTCCACGTTGTGTGATTACTCAATCTTCAGGTAAGCAACGCGTCATCGACAATGCCGATGCTGGAGGACAAACTCTGCGGTCCGCTGATGCCAACAAGCTCGTACTTTGCTCTCCACTACGGCCGGCACAGCACATCAGTCAGGTGCTCCGCAACATGAGTGCCCCTGAGCTGGCACGAGCCCGTGCCACAGACACCTGGGAATCAGGGGGCGAAGACTGGCCAGATGCATATCGCCATAGCCCCATGGCGGTCTTCGAGACGCGGGGTTGCATCGTGACTTTTTGGCATCACGAATGGCAATGGGCCACTCCGGCTTTTCAGGTTTATGCCGGCCTCCTGTTCGGCCTCCCTCTTGCCGTGACCTCGTTCAATCGGTACAGCAGGCTCGTTGAAGCCCTTGGTCGTCGACTTTGCTATGTCCTGGTCTCTTTGTATTTCGATGATGCCTCCATACAAGATTGGTCTTCGAGCCGAGGGTCGGCCCAGTGTCAACCAGCTTCTGGGGACACCATTTGCTGAAGAGAAGCGCCAGGCTATGAGCAACAAAGGCTTGTTTCTTGGCTTGGACCATGACCTTTCTGCAACCCTGTCTGGCGGATACGTTTCTTTTTGGGCGAGGGAACGCCTGGAAACCAAGTTGATGACCATCATACAAGATTGTCGCAAAGCTCAAACCCTCAAACCAGGTGTTGCAGCAAAGCTGTATGGCCTGACCAATTTCTTTGAACAGGGAGTCTACGGAAGAATTGGATGTGGGGGCCTCCATGCCATCAAAGAACGTCAACTCGTCCGCGGCGACCAACTCACACCTGCTATCGAGCAGTGCTTCCAGATTCTCGAAGCTGTGATCTCCATTCATCAGAGCGCAGAGCGGGAGCTTGATGTATGGCCACGACACCGCGAACGGTTTGTCGCGGCATCTGATGCTGCCCTGGAGTCAGTGGGAGAAGGCACGGGGGGTTTTCCTTCTGATTGTCTTCCAGGAATCTATGGAGATCAGGCTCGGCTTTGTATCACACAACACAACTTATGGACTCCGGGAGATGCCAAAATAGCACAGCTTGAGCTGATGCAAGTGCTCATTGCCTTGACTACCACCCCTGAGCGATTCCGTAATCGCCGCGGCACATGGTATATAGATAACACAGCTGCCTTGACGGCGCTCATCAAAGGCAGATCTGATAGTCCTGACCTTGAACATATGAGTCACATGATTCATATCCTTTTGTTTTCGCTCCGCTGCTGGATTTACTTTGAGTGGATCCCCTCCAAGAGCAATTGGAGTGATGCGATTTCCCGCGAAGGACACGCGGATAGATGGCACCACGACCTGGGTTTCACTAGTCGCGTGGCGACTTTCTTCGAACCACTCTGGTATTTTCCATTTCCGGCCACTCTGCGAGTCGGTCTCTATCTTTAAAGTGCGTTGAGAAATGCATTGGGTAGATACATCGCTATGGATACGTCTTGGTGGACGGGTCTCCATAGATGGGTATCTAAGCTTCATCCAGGAATGGATGTGTCGCCATGATCACTGCTCACACTTTGTCGCAACAACGTCAAGGTGACGTACAGAGACCATAACCGCAGAGAGTGCTTGTGAAAAGAGAGAGTGCACAGAGCGCAGTCTGAGAAGCACTCTAGATAGCAGAGATGTACACATGTAATGTTATATAGTAGCAAGGAGGCAGATGGGTTCCATGTTTTTGGTCCAAGCCGTTCTTGACGGTTCCTAAGCTTTAGACGTCGTTTGATTTCATTTACATGCATCCAAAGGTAATTAATCTCCATCACCGGAGGGGAGGTGGCCAGTTTCTTTCCGACTCAATCTGTTCGCGCATGTCCAATGAGTCCAAGGGCCCACGGGAGAGTCTATTTATTTTGCGAGGCGCGCAGACTGGATCTCCAAGTTCCGCACGCTCTTTGCCCAACATTTGCTCAGCCATGAAGAGGCCAGGACCCAATCCTCCGATGAACGCTGACAAAACCGGTATGTCCTGACAAGTTAGGGAGACCCAAATCAAGCAAAAGGTGGACATGGTAAGACTGGTAAGATGAAGCTGCGAGTGAAGCCTCCTAAACAGCAAGCACACACATGTTGACGAATTTTTCTCCTGCTTTTCTTTTCAACCCAGCATCTATCTCAAGGGAGCCGCTCTGCACCTCATCCCGGACTTGATCAACGCTCGCCAATAACAATAGGACAAGGGAAGGGAATGCCCTGTCATTTGCCACCCCGCCTGCGGCAAATGGAGTTTTCTATTCCAAGAGAGGCGGCCGTCACAGCAGCGCCCTGCTCCACATCAGTTGGCGCTAGAGCAGCGTAGCTGTAAGGAAAAGAGCCAGAAGAGCTTCTTTAAATAAAGGCTGAAACAAACCAGATTGAAACTTGCTGAAAACCAACACGGACCACCCATGTGCCAAAAGATCGTTTGAATATATAATTACACCAGCATCGACCCCAAACAGCAGCGGCAGTCGGAGCTATATGACGTATATACAGTCGAAATTCTCAAGTCAACATCAAAACAAAGCAAAATCATCTCAGCCCATCATCCAGACATGGCATGGGAAACAAAGGGAGACAAAGCAAAATCATCTCAGCCCAGCATCCAGACATGTCATGGGAGGCAAGGGGGGCAAGGGGAAGCAAGGGGAGACAAGAAAAGGCAAAGGGAGACAAGGGGAGACAAAGGTAGACAAAGGAAACAAAGCAAAATCATCTCAGCCCAGCACCAAGACAGGGGGAGACAAGGAGAGACAAAGCAAAGTGATCCCAGCCCAGCATCCAGACGACAAATGACAAAGGGAGATCTCAGCCCAGACACGCCATGGGAGACGAAGGGAGACAAAGCAAAATCATTTCAACCCAGCATCCAGACAAAGGGAGACTAAGCAAAATCATCTCAGCCCAGCATCCAGACACGTGATGGGAGGGAAAGGGAGACAAAGCAAAATCATCTCAGCCCAGCATCCAGACATGCCATGGGAGACAAGGGAGACAAAGCAAAATCATCTCAGCTCAGCATCCAGACATGCCATGGGAGACAAAGGGAGACAAAGCAAAATCATCTCAGCCCAGCATCCAGACATGCCATGGGAGACAAAGGGAGACAAAGCAAAATCATCTCAGCCCAGCATCCAGACACGCCATGGGAGACAAGGGGAGGCAAAGGGCGGGAATCATCTTGGCCCAGCGTCGTAGAAAGGCTGTTTGGGCAGGGTTCTGGACATCCCGGAACCGTGGGGCAGGACAGACATGTCCATGTGCGTCTAAAGTTGTAAGGTCTAGAGGTGTAGTTACAGAAGGTCTAGATCTAGACGCACTGGGCTCCAGAGAGCGGTGATGGTGATGGTGGCGCTAACGACGGTGATGTTGATGGTGGTGATGGAGGTGGTGATGGTGGCGGTGAAGATGGTGCTGGTGATGGTAGTGATGGTGATGATGGTGGTGACGGTGGCCATGATGATGTTGATGGTGGTGATGATGTTGTTGATGGTGAGAGTGACGGTGGTGATGATCATGTTGACGGTGGTGATGATGATGTTGATGGTGGTGATAATGATGTTGATCACGGTGGCGATGATGGTGGTGGTGGTGGTGATGTTGATGGAGGTGATGATGGTGGCGGTGACGGTAGTGACTGATCGCGGTGGTGGTGGGGACCGTGGTCGCGGTGGAGATGGTGACGATGATGTTGGTTTCAAAAAAAATTGCTGGCGCATAGGCCATGTCACAACTCGTCTGGCCTCGATGCAAAGCATGGCGCTTGCATGGCACTTGCGTAAAAGTGTTATTCGCGCACGGCGCAAGAAGACAAAGCAGAATCTTCGTTGAACGGATCCAGCTGCACTTGAATCACTGGCTGCCATGCTTTCATGCAGGTTCCTGGATGCATAGTTGGCCATGCCATTTGGCAGCAGTAGCCGCTACTGAGTAGCGGTCACTGAGCGGCCCACACTCATTTCGCTCATTTCACTGTTTTGCGGGACGTCGCAGGTGACGCTTCAATTGTTTATGGTGTGGGAAACTCAGAGCATATACAAGCAGTGGTCAACGGACGTGGTCATCTCTTTGTTCAGTTCTTGCCGGCGAGTTGCTAAAGGACCGTGGAGGTGCATACAACACACATGATTCACATGATGAAAGCACGATGCGGCCTTCCCAATTGGAACAACTTTTTGTGCTCAATTGCAAATTGAAAGTTCGAGCGATACTTTGGCAGTGCATGCTCTCAGGTTCTTCGTTGACAGCCGTGGGCATGGTGTTTTTCGCCAGGCCAATGTGGGGGTCATGCGTCCCAGCCATACATGAGCAAACAAACATACATTCTATAGTATTTGTTACGAAAGCCGGCCTTCGTAGAAGGCGCCAGCTGAGTTGCGCTTGGCGAACGAAGTGAGTAGGTAAGGGGGTCTGGGGAGGAGGGTGCAGCGACGGAAGGTTTTTGAGGTTGGTTTGGAGGTGATTCTTTGTGATGTTTGAGCGGGTGGTGATGCAAGAAATGCAATTTGCATCATTTGCATCATCTGAATGGTACGGTGTCGTTGTACAGAGGCCGATGTGTTATAGCTTCGTGCAGTTGTGAGTGAATAACATCTTTCAGAAGGAGAGCAATTATAAACGCTATATGCATTTATACCATGGAAGTGTTACACCATGCAACTGAATTGTAGTTACCTGGGGTCCGTATAAATGCTATTGTGTTATGCTTCCGACATACCCACGTTTAGAGCACTAATGAGACTGGAGAGGAAAAAGTGCAACATCATTGGAGCACTGGATCATAGGATGTTTGATCGCAAGCCCGTCTTTCTGTGTAACCTGGCATTTTGTGTAAAGAGACACAGAGATTGTGCAGCGGTAGCTCCCAGGGCGCGGAGAATAGAGGGATAGCACAGAAGACAGCGGCGCAGAGGTATAGCGCAATAGCATTTAGACGGACCCTGGGTAGCTACAGTTTAGAGGATATGGTTGGAGGCCTCGGGTGATGCCTGTACATGGCCAAGAGGCCGCGCCTAAAAAGATCTTATCGCTACAACAAGGTCGATGTTGGGTCCGCGCGCGCGAATGTTTATCAAGCTAAATGCAAGGTGGCCTGGGGCAAGGGGTTTGCTGCCCTAAAACACCATGTTCAGGCCACCTCAAAAATGAAGATATGTGAAGCGAGGGTTGTTGGGTGTATATCTGACAAGGCTTCAAGGCTTCCAGATTCGATCACCTGACGAAGTGCATTCGTTTAAGTAGAAGGGTTTTCGTGCAAACTTCGAGGTGGCCTGGGACCAGGGGTTTGCTGCCCTCAAACACTATGTTCAGGCCACCTCAAAGCTGAGTTGCGCTTGGCGAACGAAGTGAGTAGGTTGGGCGTCTGAGGGGGGTGGCCCGAGAAAGATATACGTAAACTCTGGGAGGTGATGCTTTGACGCTTTTGGAGCGGGTGGTGACGCAAGAATATATTTTTTGCTTTTGCATCATCTGAATGTGGCCAGAAAAAGACATTAAACAGATTGATTTTACAGGGTGTGCATATGTGTGTTTATCAAATCCTTTGATGGTACAGGAATTGGAATCTGCTTCCAGTGCTCAACTTGGCAACTTGTGGCCTCCATTTGCTGTGGTTAAAGTCTCTTGAATGTCTCGAAACGCATTTCTTTTCTTGTGGATGAGGTGCTGTGAATCAATCGCTGGAGGTACGCTGATTTTGGGGGAACATGGGCTAACAAGTTGACGATCCTGCCAGCCCGAAACGATTGAAATGCATCAAAGGACTACAGAGGGTTACAAGGGCGTTCATACTCTGATCGGCCAAAGGCCCTGAGCCAAACAGAGGAACCATACGACAATATGGCTAGAAACTACTAGTAACAAGGGCATGGCTACTAGGAACTAGAAGTTACTAGTAGCAAAGGGCATTACTAGTAGTACAGTAGCTCCTCTCTCCTAGTAACAATGGCATTACTACCAGGAACAAGAAGCTACTAGTAGCAAAGGGCATTAGTTAGTAGCTCCTCTCTCCAAGTAACAAGGGCAGCACTACTAGGAACAAGAAGCTACTAGTAGCAAAGTGCATTACTACTAGTAGCTCCCTCTCCTAGTAACAAGGGCATTCTACCAGCAGCTAGAAGCCACTGGTAGCAAAGAGCATTACTAGTAGTAGCTCCCCTCTCCTAACAACAAGGGCGCTGCTACTAGGAGCAAAGCGCATTACTAGTATTAGTTCCTCTCTCCCAGTAGCAAAGTGCGCATACTAGTAGTAGCTCCTCTCTCCTAGTAACAAGGGCGATACTACCAGTAGCTAGAAGCTACTGGTAGCAAAGTGCATTACTAGTAGTAGTTCCTCTCTCCTAGTAACTTACTACCAGTAGCTAGAAGCTACTAGTAGCAAAGCGCATTACGAGTAGTAGCTCCTCTCTCCTAGTAACAAGGGCATTACTACAAATCGCACTACTAGTAGTAGCTTCTCTCTCCTAGTAACAAGGGCGTTACTACCAGTAGCTAGAAGCTACT